CAAATGGGCCAATGGAATGGCAGATTGTTGATTAGCGTGTGACAGGGCAGTTACCACGGACTTCAATTTTTATAGTGATCACGACACCATTCGTTGATGAAGAAAAACGCAAATGTAATTACGCGATTATCGTCGTTATCAAATGAATGAACCTGATTCCCAAATTCACATCTGCAAATAACAGAGAATTAAGACCGGAAATCTTTTTTTTATTTTTCGAAGATGCGCTGATTTAAATATTTCATGTCGGCTGTTATAATTTTATTTTTGCTCATAAATTAATACCGCCAACTTAAACTGAACGATATTGTCATCAACAACGTCGGGATAACGATAAAATTCGATACTTAATTATAACGATAAAATTAGATACTTAATAATATTTAAGAGCTATTTTATACGCTGTGAATTGCAAGAAATAGAACCCATTCACCCTCATGCTCGAATGATGAAAACGATTGATTACAACACGATTTGCTTACTTACGACAAAATTGAAACATACGATAATGATTGTAAATATTTCCAATCAGAAAGATCCTCGAGTGTTATAAGCACTTCAAGTCATGCTTTCAAAATGTTTTAATTACGGTAAATCAAAACGTTGACGGCGGCGCTAGGATATGTGCGCCATATTCGGTATTCGTACAAACACAAAAAAACAATATTCGAAGTTCGCGATATTCGAATAATAAATTCATACGAATAATAAATTCATTGGACATCCGTGCTTCATGCACTGCATTAAATCAACCCAAAATAAACAAATGTCACTATACGCGTTTTCGGTTTTCGGCCTTTTGTTTGTAGAAAATCTAAGTTAATCGAAGCAATATTTTTACAAAAATAATTTTTGTAAGTTGGATTTTTCGTATCCAGAGCCTTTCGTAGGTGGAGTTTCTACTGAAGATGCAAGCACATTGTTTCTTTTTATTGTTGATCTCATGGCATTTTTCGAGGTCCTGGCAGAAATAAAAGAGTTGGAAACTGCTCACACGTTCCAGATTAATTTAAATAAAAGCTCGTTTAGCGGACACATCCTTCAAAATTGGCACTTCTGCGCGGGCCGCACAATTTGTCTCTGCAGGCCGCATTTGGCCCGCGGGCCGCAGTTTGCACACCCCTGCTTTAGATAATAGTGATTTACTTGGAATGGACTATAATTTCTTTTTGTCAGAGCTCCCACCTTGTCTTTCATGCTTTCTTTGTCTGGGATTATATATTATAGATGGTAAAATAAAAGTACTTTTTAGCTTTTATGCAGTGGTATATATATAGCGCCTTTTCTTTCTATTCATTGTCCCGACGAAGCTGTCCATTTGGGCGAATTATACAGATTGCTTTTTACTAGTTGTTTTTACGAAGCGGGCCATGTGTGACGAAGCTATATGCTCGTAATGTTGCATGGAAATAGAGTCGGAGCGCCTGAAAATAAAATATGGTATTATGAACAAGAATGTTGCAGTTATTGATATTTATCTATATTTACCTGTGCACCACACAGCTCATTTATTATTTTCACAAAATACCATTATGTAATACAAAATTGCTCCACAAAAGTAGTATCTGTCAACTTGAAATTTTTCTTTTCAAAAACCAAATGACTGAAATATTCTTTATATTACTTAATATCAGTGGCGTGAGTTTGGAGATGCCTTAAAACCATCAAGAAAAAAATTTACACATTCCGCTGGATTGTCAAAGCATTTAAAAATACATGTCAAAGAAACGACCTAGGGAGAACTTCCTATTTTTTTGAGTTTGGGAGACTTAATTTAGTGCTGTAAAATGACGTTAACATAACCATTAAGAAAGGGGAGTGGGGAAAATTTTGATTGGATACGAACTGTGCATATTCAAAACATAGACTGGACAATTGGTAATTTGTATTGTCAAGATACAAGTCAATACATATTGATGAAGTTTATTTTAATTGCAAAGGATAAAAACGAATGACATATTAACAGTGCAGAGGTATTCTTCACTTAATTCTTTCCAGATAACCTTAGGTTTTGGATTATTGCCAATCATCTTGAGTTTTAATAGAATAGATATATAGGTAATGTTGTTTTTAATACTTTGTGCCATATAATATTTGATTAGTTCTTTTATTGTAAAAAACTGATTGATGATTTTTTTTTTTTTGTGCTCGAGATTTTATTATTTTGCGATTAAATGGGGAACCAACCGGTTGTTTTATCGTTTTCCTTCTGAAATTTTATTGTAAATATTCAAATTCTCTCTGGTCATATTTATGAGTCCCCTGGAACATCTGTTTTGTTTTTCAATTTTAATTTTGTTGTAATATTTCTATATCTGTCGTTAATCCCTAATTATAAATATCAATTTCGCGAGATCATGTATCATTTGTTTTGTTACTAATTTAATTTCAGGGAACCCAACTTTTTTCAGGGAATGGCACATTTATTTACCCTGATTTGAACACACTGGACGATTTGCCTGTTTTTATTCACTGATGTTTTTTATAAATAAATAGACGTTTGACACATTTATTTGTATTATTTTTGTAAATACTGCTGCGACTCGTTGTCCTGTTTTTTTCTCTCGGGAAACAACGCGCACAAAGAAAATAAATCGTTTATAATCTGGCACTGAATACACATGTTTGAGAAGCTTTATTTGTATCATATTACAGAGTAAAAATGAACAGTTGAAATATAGGTCAGATGAAATTTAATTGCGCGTATCATAGCTATAATTCTATTCAATTGTTATTGTCAGGGCTATAGTTTCAGATTATATATCCAAATGCTCTCATATGGCCTCGCGTTATAACTAGACATGGGATTCATGGAATGCACATGGAAATCATATTGGATAAATCCATACAACATTCGTGTGACTTGACCATCAAGCTCTGACGGAAGAAGAATATGACCTGGTATATAAAAATTAGTTTTGGGTGAAAATTGAATAATCATCAGTTTAGGGTAGAAGTTCCTGAACCACAGAGCCACGAGTTTCGAGGTTCGAGTTTAGTCTCACTGGTATTATTTAATTCAGATGACTCGAGCATCGCAGCACTGGTAATACACCATGGTCAATAATATTTTATCGAACAGATACATATAGAGAGCAATCGGTGTATGCAATTCCTTATGTCCTGGAATTGTGTAATTATCTCCTACTACACTCGTTTCTTCTTATATTAAATTTGTGCAAAATAATTACATAGCACGTAATTTACTTACAAACCTTGAACAAGCAACAATAAATTTGGATAGTCGCTCAATGCCAGTGTGTTACAACAGTACTTTTTGTGCATTTCTTTATGCAAATTTGCCAATTATTTCATCAAAAAGTTTTCGCCTCTCTATATGCTTGATTAATCTAGATCAGGGGTCACCAAACTTTTTTGACCGCCGGCCAGGTATGACTCAAACTCTTTTGAAACGGGCCGGACAAATATTTTTGTCAATGCAATACAATAAATTCACAAAAGTTGGGAAATCCATTCAATTTATTTAACAATATAAATTCTACATTGCTGAAGATATGAAAATCAAATTCTATATCGCAGAATATAGATTAAGAACATCATAGCAAAACAAATATATATACAAGATGTCCAGATCTAGAAAACTATCCTGAGGTTAGCTGTTAGCAAAACATTGCTCTCATGCATAGCCGCATGTAAGCAGTGCACAAGTTAATGTGACTTATGAAATTGGAGCAGTAGCGCAAAATTCACGTTCGACGTTCATTTTAGCACAAAAAACGTACACAGTAACAGTTTCGCCGAAAACACGCGACAAGAGTGCATCCTTCGCAAAGAATGTAGCGTACCTGTAGTGAATTTTAGCCTAATATAACATGGGTATTCTTAGAATAATTTTAAATTGCTGCAATTACACTACAACTCTTAAGAAGGCAAAATGATGAATGACTCATTTGATTCCTACTTAAGTTTCCGAAAGACAGTTAAAACTAACCAATTGCATTCAAAATAGCAAAAACGAACTATTGTTCACAACTACGACTGAAAATCTGTCGGAGTGGATGCGAAAAAGTTATTGTTACGTCACTTTTTGCATCTTGCAGATTGGCCAATGTTACAAAATAAACAAGGAAGTCGATTCTCGAGGAAACATATCTTGGACAAAAATTCGGACAAAACTTTGTTCGTGTTATTGCGGGCCGTAGTTTGGTGACCCATCTAGATCACATAGCATTTACGGACTTGTCGAGGATCGAATAGGAACGATCGCTCACAACCTGCTACGGATCCTGCACAGGCAACATGATTTGCTTTTTATCTCTATATTCTACTATAAATGTGGGAAGATATTTCGTGAGAATAGTGCTCTTAATACTTTCTTAATTTGTTTCCCTATATTCATAAGAACTACTTATATCGGCTCTTATTGCAAGTAGTGTGATTAGAGCTAAAATTAAGATAGGTATGTATGTATTTGTATGTGTAATGGTCGTTGATTTACAAAGTACAATATCGGCACACGTACCCATCAGTTATGTCCACCAGGTGTTGCAAGAGACTATTCACTTTTTGACTTTGGGTCCTAGTGTTTTCACTTAATGTACTTGATCGCGTTAAGCTAATGGCCTTGTCAGCAGTTCTTAGTTAGTTCTGGCTTGCCCAACAGGGACTTTTATTTGTAATTGATTTGTGTTTTTCCAGGTATATCAATCATTTGTTTTCTTATTTCTAGAAATTCATTGGTAGTGACTACCAATTTGGTACTACTTTTGTTTATACCCGAGTGGCACTGAAATTGATTATCAGATTTTCGTACCTCACAATCTCTTTGGCGAGTGTTCGATTTGAAATCATTGAGCGACTGTTTTTCAAGTCCCAATACATTCGAGTGTATCCAGTCAAGTAGACCTTTGATTATGGGGCTTTGGAGATCACAGTTTGGAGATCACAGATATAGTTTGATTCTCACCAGTTGCAGGTATAAAAATTACTGGTATATTTGTACTACTGCATGTTTGCTGTTTTTGAAGCTGTTCTGCAGATTCTCTGAAACTCCAGATGTCATTTTGTATTGAGAATGTTAATATCTTATTTTAGTGATGATTATTCCTTTTATATCCCTTTCATACCTATTTCATAAACTTTGAAAATCATAATTTAATTCAAGATATCTTGTTAAATTCACCGTATTACCATGGTTGGCTAGAATAAAAATATTGTTCCAATTTAATGAAACAGTTCATAAAAGTCGGATATGTCAAATTTACGTGAGAAAATTTATACCAAAGAGAAGTCACTTTTCTGTGCAATATGTGGAAAACATTTTGCAACGTCAAGTAATTTTACTCTGCATGTGAGAATTCATACAGAAGAGAGGTCATACTCTTGTGAGGATTGTGGGAAAAGTTTCTAACGATCTTGCTCTCTGAATGCTCATATACGAGAATTCATACTGGAGAGAAGCCATATTCTCGTGAAGTTTGTGGAAAAAGTTTTAAACAATCCTGTAACCTGAAGGCTCATATATGAATTCATAATGAAGAGAAGCCATATTCTTGTGAAGTTTGTGGCAAAAGTTTTAAACATTCCTGTAGTCTAAAGGCTCATATACGAATTCATACTGAAGAGAAGCCATATTCTTGTGAAATTTGTGGCAAAAGTTTTAAACAATCCTGTATTCTGAAGGCTCATATACGAATTCATACAGGAGAGAAGCCATATTCTTGTGAAATATGTGGCAAAAGTTTTAAACAGTCCTGGAATCTGAAGACTCCTATACGAATTTATACTAGAGAGAAGCAATATTCCTGTAAGATATGTAGCAAATGTTTTACAGTATCAAATAATTTGGTTATGCACATGCGAATTCATACAGGAGAGAAACCTTATTCTTGTGAAATATGTGACAGATGCTTCACACAACTAGACCATTTGAATAATCATATGACAACGCATACCGGAGAAAGGCCATATTCTTGTAAGATATGTGGAAAATGTTTTGCGACTTCCAGTACTTTAAATAATCATGTGCGAATTCATACAGGAGAGAAGCCATATTCCTGTAAAATATGTAAAAGGTGCTTTACGCAAGTTTGTAATTTGAATGATCATATACGAATTCATACCGGAGAAAAGCCATACTCATGTGAGATTTGCGGAAAAAGTTTTAAAATTTCTAGCAGTCTGAAGACTCATATACGAATTCACACTGGAGTGAAGCCATATTTTTGTAAAACGTGTGGCAAATGTTTTGCAAGAAAAAGTGGTTTGAATGCTCATTCTCAAATTTATACACGAAAAAAATTTTAAATGCGAGAAAACGTTTTAAAAACGAATGATTCGAATATATTTTGTATCAAGTGATACTTCAATTGACTTTTGAAGGCAAGTTGTATTTTTTGCATGAAGCACAACGAAATAAAAACACTATTTCTACGCTGGGTTAATACAGTACATGGATTTGAGATGAATATGGGATCAATGCCAACATATCTTTGTGTCGTTTCAGTTTGTGTGTTTTCTTTTGCAATTTCCTATTTGTCAATATAATTACATTTAGTTATAGACATACTGATTTGCATTCGACATAATCTTCATTGAGCTAGCTTAGCAATTTTCTACAACTTGGTGACACGCACTACCGAACAACCTGCACAGGTTATTTTCGAAAGGACGGTGGTTTACGCAACTGTCCTTAATCCAGCCCCAATGTGGCTTTAATTATCTAGCTCAGTGGTTCTTGAACCGCGGCCCCCTTTAAAAAATTTTACAAACTTCGCACCCCCCCTCCCCTATTTTTGCTTCGAAAAAATGCTTTTGTGGTGGGCAGGTTGCTATATATTAAGATGACGCTATAAGAGTGTTGGTCTCATAGCGTCATTGCTAGGGATGTAAGTTAAGAATATATTTTTTTCGAATCGAATATTTCCGAATCGATTCTGATTAATACAACATCACTTTTTCTTTGACTTTATTCAACACACACAAGGTTATTTTTCAGTAAACACGCATATTAATACATGCACGCATAATAATGTTCAATTGAGGTGAACAATAAACTAGCAATCATTCACTGCTGCATCAAACTTCGGTTGCAGTGCAAGAAGTTTAACTCATTTACGTGTGTACCACTGAGTCTGGTTCTTAATCTGGAAACTGTCAAACCAGCAGAAGAGAAGGCTCTCTCCGCTGGTGATGACGTACACGGTATAGCCAAGTACCGATTGGCCATTTTGTGTAGGGATGGAGAATCAGTTTTTCGGGCATGCCACCACAATAATGGGTTTAACCGCTCTGTATTTCTGTCCAATTTCTCTTTCAAGTACTGTGAAATTTCCTCCGACACTTTAGATGCATATCCTTCCGATTCAGACGAGCTTGACTGTTCAATCCCTATCGAAAAGAGTCCTTGGAGAGAATTTTGTTCCACCTCTGGAGCAGTAACCGCAGAAGGTTCAACGTGTATTTCATCTTGTATTTCTGGCATTGAAGCTTCAGTGGCTTCCATTTCTAGAGAAACTCTGACCTTGAAACACAAAAAAAAAATATTATATGGGTTTGTACAAGTCTATAAATGATATGAAAGGGATAATGTTAGTTGAACCACTTGTATAACTCACACAATGAACAACAGAATCCAGAATACTACCAACACATGTAAAAGAAAAAATCACAGTTGCAAATTAGGAACATCACAGCCTATGCGTTTGAAAGAGTAATTTTGACCTGACTTCACAAATTTAAGAAATACAATGGTATACCAGATTTTGAGTGAATATTACCTGGACTCTGAAAGAACGATCAAAAAATTTCCCTTTATGACAAGGATGGAGCCATGTTGCTTTTTGGAACAAGTTGACCTCTTCTTGACTGGGTGTTTCCAGTATAGAACGAAATCGAAGTTTGAGAGAATTTATGAGAGTGTTGCAAAATTCATTCGTAATAGCTGATAGTGTCCCACCCTCATTTCTCTTTTCCTCACAATGGCCCAACAGCCCTTTTGTGAGAGGAATCAAAGAGGAAACTGTTACATAGTCACCTTCAAGATGGTCAGAGGCAGCCTGTCAAAATATGAAACAAATAATTTTATTTCATACATATATGTGCTAACAAATATCAAGAGATATGCAAAGTAATTTACACTACCTTGAAGGGTTCTAAAATCTCTGCTAGCACTGTAAGCATATTCCATGTTGTTTCACCTAATTCCAGGTGACTTGCTGCTGTTCTAGGAGTAATTGTTGGGTCACATAATACAGATCGAATAGTCCATTGATGAGAGATCAAATTTTTTATCATAACATAAGTGGAATTCCATCTTGTAGATACGTCGATTGGCATTTATATTTAAGGAGATGTGCCATCCTGAGCATGTCGATGTCTTAAAGTTGTCATAGCTTTCGTTGATCGGCGAAAGTACTGCACCAAATGACGAGCTCCAGCTGCAAAAACGAAGAAATTATTGCACTTAACAATACAAATGCTTACAATGAAATAATAACCTATGCAGATTAAAAAATATGCATTTTTTCTCTCATAAATTAGGTTTTTACAAAGACAAGTAATTTTAGTTAATAAACCTTTTCAACATAAATTAAAATCACCTAATGCATGAGATATTTCTTCAATTTTTAAGCCATCTTTGATGCAGAGCTGAATCGTATGTGCAGCGCATCTAATATGGTACCAACCATATTCTTCGTAAAGTGAACGACAAGCTGACACCACATTTGCTCCATTATCTGTTGTCACTGAGAGCACCTTTGTCGGGCTGATATCAAACTCACTCAATGATTTTAAAATTTCTGATTTTATATTTTCTGCCGTTTGAGCCTCATCCATCTGTTCTGTTGTCAATACATACTTGAGTAATTGACCATCGCTCGGATCTACGAAATGGGCAGTGACAGTTATATATGCTTGCATTCTTGCACTGGTCCACATGTCTGTTGTAAGTGAGACAGATTTTTCTTTTATGGCCCCTATTATGTTAATAAGCTTTTCTTTACATTCTTTATACCTCCTTTCAATATGTTTAGTTACAGTGTTACGCCCGGGTAATACATAGCCTGGCTGTAAGTGATGTATCAGTGAACGAAAATGCTGTCCCTCAACAAGGTTTATTGGCCGGAGGTCTCCAACAATAACTTCAGTTATCAATCTATCTATTGTCTCACACTGACCCTTAGTTATTGGCTTGAAATAGGCAGTCAAGCTGCTTTGCTGAACTGAAGAAGTTCTGGAATTAAAAGAACAACAGGTTAACCTCATATCAAGACTGCAAGAGGACTTGTTGAATAAAGTCCACTATCCAGACTATCTGACTACAGGACTATGTTTCACCAAAAACTACACTGAAAAAAAAATCGTAAGAATACTGTCCAATATCAGAGAAACTGGCGAATGAGTTGACGTTATACCTGCCCGATTACAAAAATGGAATCATTTTGTCCGAATCCGCTAAGTTATGGAGTATAACAGTCCAACTCGATAAAGGAGAATGAAAATCCACACAGCGCCCTCCGCTGTTGCGACGGAGCAATATGTTCCGCGGAACGTCGATCCATTCATTTTCGCCGGATTTTTTTTCGCCAAAATCGCTGCAAATCAGATCTTAAAACCATCAGTTGTTACGTCACTATATAGCCTGAAATTTGAAAATCGAAACTGGCGCTGTTTGCTATTGACCGTCTTGATCTGTGTAGGTCTTCATGTCAAATTTATCGGGCATCGGCAAGAGAAATCAACAATATAGCGTTAGAGATGAGTTGTATAGGGGATTCGCAATGTTTTTCACACTGATAATGGGATATATTCGCAACCGTGAAGATATTGAGGTAAGTTACCATGATTTTGTTTGGTCTACAAAATTCTGATATTTCTGTGTTGATAATTAATAATATCACAATATTTTTTTTTTCATAATAACATAATCTCACATGGAGCCGATTTCAATAATGTAATGTATTTTTTTATTCTAATGATTTTTCCAGGTACCGGTATACGGTTTTGTCACTTATTATAGCCTGAAATTAAGTCTTTGCCTCAGTAGTGTTTTGTATTGTTCTGCCACCTTCAGGTCACTAGACCGCATACGTGAAACAAACTGCATACGGACGTTGTTCGCTTTATGAATGATAATCTATATATGCATTTCTCTCTCATGGGATAATTAGCGAAAAAAACTTGTCAAGTTATGGGTTTCTTTATGTTCTAAAATGTGTTAGCGAACATGACGAATTTGCGTAATACCAGATGCGTCCTCCACCCGGCGTAATAGCAGCTGACTTACTACAGAAAATGCCTTCTGTTCATTTTAGCTTTTCGTGAAAAAAATGCCAAATTATGTCTCAAGGGAAACTGCAAGTCTAAAGATATGGATTTGTGAGATTAGCGCCCATGTTACAAAATAGAACATTTCGGTCTTGCCCAGCGCTTCTATCTAAAACACATCCACAGTTAAGTATTTTTTTATTTCTGTTTAAGCTAGGCGATACGAATAATGCTACAAACATCGCCGGATGAGAACAGAACAGGCCTACGTCACAATTTCGAGTGTTGAGAAAAACGCAAAAAAAAAAAATTTTGAATTCCGTTATTTTTGAATTTCTAGATATTCACACTTAGTAAGACCTGAGCTCTGGTTATTTCAATGTGGATGAGGAAATCTTTGTAATCGATTTATGTTGGCACTTCCTTTCTGTTTTTCACCCCCCAAAAAGAACTTTAGCCCATTCTGTTTTCAACAACTTTCGAATTTTTTTGTATGGGATGCAAGGTAAAACAAGGTGACTTGAGCCTAAGTTGCACTGAACAAATTCTTAGAGATGAAAATTTCGAAATTTCTCAAAAATGTGACTTAGGCCGCTTCTGTTCTCATCCGGCTATATGGTAACACATAGCATGAGCTACGGTTTTTTGAAGATGGCAACATATTTTGGGTTGTTGGGTTCTGAACCCAGTCCAAGCAGGTGAAATTCTAACAATTTGTATAATTTACCTGCTAGGACCGGGTATGCAGGATAGCTCAAATTCAACACAAAATATGTTGCCATCAGTGTGAGCAACCCTTTGATAACATCTTCGCTGTCGACTTGTACAAAAGTTTTATTGTCTACTACCACAGCAGGCATGCCGGCAGCTTCTCGAGTTCCGGGAAACGCGAGGTAAGGCTGACGTTGGGTTGCCTTAATGCCATCTTCGCCAAATTTGGCCACTGCTTGGAGAGCGGGGCCACTATATAAATGTTCCATCAGAGTAAAGATGTTTTCGGCCGCATTTTGGTGACCTATTTTAGCTTCCGCAGCTGCTTCAAAAACTCTGAATCTTTTTTTGGTAATGGTCACATATTCGTCAATATTTATGACCTTTTTCTTTACCAAGTAGGCCATATCTTCGATAAGTTGTAAAAATATGAAAACCGTTATTAATATCCAAATACTTATAGACGTATGACACACCTAATAAACTGAAATTTACTGTATCAGACGTACAGAAATCTTCTTAAAATTTGACATCGTATTTAAACAGAATTATTGAAAAATAGACTTTAATAGCCCTCTGATTTGTGACAAATGATTTTCATTCATTGTGGATATTGGATAAGTGGACAAAAATATGCACTCACCACATAATAGTTTTGGTATTCTGGAAAAAGACTTTTTGTGCGCTCTGATCTTTTCCTTCCATCAAAGGCAGAGATGGCTCCGATTCTCTCCATGATTCTATTTGTTTTCGGTGTCGACTTTTCTCTCTTTTGTCGACTCTCTGATAAATGTTTTAAATTTTGTAAAGTTGCCTCTTGGCTGTTAGCCCTCTTTCTTAAATGGTATGCCAATTCGAAGAATCCACCTTGGTGGATACCATCGTCTATTTTCAGGATCGGATATTCTAGCACCAAGTTTTGTGCTATGCCAAGTCGTTCCTGTCTGTTTGGCTTTCTGTCCATTAATTGATAGCATATGGAATATATATGTCTTGTTACGGCTAGATACAAGGCTTTGCTCAGGGGCGATTGTGCGCTATTGAGGCAGTTTTTAAAATCGGTGCATATAGGAAAGGGGGTAGGAATTGGACTTGGGTAATGGATAGGAGAGGGGCTTGGAATTTCGATATTATCAGGTTTTGCGGGTGTAGAGGTGCTTTGGTGAAATTGCTCGTCAATTGCTGGGATGGGAGTGGGTGGTGTGAAATTGCTGCCTTCCGAAGAGTTCTGTTCTGGATTATCTGAGCAAAGGTCTAGAACCGGCAGCGTGTCATCCGAGGAATACAAGAGATCTAACATCTCCCCCCGCTGTTGTGGAGTTGTCTGAAATATCAAAATTTATATTTATTGCTTTGAAACAAACGTACATTAACCGACATCAACTTGTCATTGCACAAATGTATTGAAGCCTATTCTGAAAATCGGAGACGGAATCCATCCAGGTGGCTTCTTTGAAATGGCGTATGATTTGAAGGGAGTCACAGCCAAAAGTTAACTTGAGAAAATTTTAAGGATTCGTCAGAAGTTATGGAAAGGTCGACACCGAGCACAAATAGAATCGCGGAGCGCAAAAAGTCTTTCCGGAGTACCAAAACTAATATATGTGGTAAGCGGTGGCGTATCTAGGGTGTGGCCGCCATGGCTCGTGCCATTGGCGCCATTTGAACAGGATCGTCAAAACGGCAAAAACTATTAGCCATGATAAGTTTTAATAAACTAACTTTAAATTGAGAATAACAGAAACTCGTATTTTTCCTCAAATAATAACGTACAATTATCTCAATTCAATAATAGTCATTATAAATTGTCCAACAACTGTGTAGGGGGCGCCTTTTTAGACTTTGCCATTGGCGCGATTTTACGTAGATACGCCTCTGGTGATAAGTGCATATTACACTTCCAAAGCGAAATTACGGTCAGCAAAATATATTGGAATCTGCTATCCACAATGACTTGTTACATGCCGGGAGACTCGATATTTTTAATAGTTCTGTTTAATACGATGTCAGTTTCCAAACATAATTAAACCAGTGTGGATTACCTATTTTGTGATGCGATTAAGCATATCAAATAATGCCTCTATTATTTCCAGGGCGATGAAAAGGGAGTCTGAAATATTATATACATCTCACATTACAAAATCAAAGTAGCCTACCTTGGGTGGTTGGCATAGGCACTCTTGCAACATTCGTCTGTCTCTAAACGGCAAGTCGCTAAAAAGACCGTACACTTCCTGGAGGTTTAGAGGTAAGTCCTCGATTTCAATTCTGGCATCTGAAAATGATGTTCATCTTATTACTTCTGAATGCCTCGTTTAAAACTGACATAGGCGCGACTCTCCATAATTTTAATATTATACATTGCTTAAAATTAAATATGAATAACAATAATCCACCTTTAAATGTTACTATTCTTTTCGAGAGTTTTTATTAATCACTTTCGTTGTTCTGTCAAAAAATGTTACTTATTTTAACCTTAATGAAGTTATTTAAAAGTATTGTGGGGAGATGGTTATAAATAGAAATTACGAGAAATATTTTTGCGCATTATAAATATCGTTTTAACTTTAATTCGGAAGCATGGTAATAAAATAGAACTTCCTATTGAAACTTCGCTAGCATAAGTGGTCCTTGCAATGTACTAAAAAAGGCTTGTATACGCGGAAGTTTTCGTTTTAATAATTTATTTTATCGGGCTTCGAAGTTTAAATCGCTTGCAATGCGGAGTTGGAACAAATTTTTTTGTTTTAAGTACCGTAAGTTTTAATAATAAATTTTTTTGACCGCGCAAAACCCTGCGAGCGCAAGAATTCATTATAACCTGACTCACCTTGGATCCTACGAACGAAATCCGGGCTGAGCCCACAAGCGATGGCGTGTGCTTCCATGGCTAGAAAAGTTGAGAAAGAACGATCTATACCGCACGTGGTCTTAGTTCTAACAATCTATTGTGATGCAACTTGCTCTTGCGACACATTAACTTTGCTTTACATTCATACTTGTTCATGCAAAACTCGGTATTACATTTTTGAAGACGCCCTCTGTGACATAACAAGATGCTTTCGTCGCACGCGCTGGGATAATAAGATATCTCAAATTTCGTTCTGAAGTTGGTACACGCATTTGTAAATACGATTCGTGATATAAATTAATCAAGCACCTATTATGTACATCTCGATTTCAGTCTAGAATATTGTATTGGGGTGCTCCCGATGTATGTGTACCAAGATGGCGCACAACCTAAAAAATAGTATTGTACCAGGTTAGGATTCAGGTTGTGCGTCATCTTGGTACTCATACTTCCGGAGTAGGGGCATTAATCCATAATTTGATTTCTAATATATACAGTAACGTAAAATAGCTTTAAATTTATTATAAATATACCGCTATTCGGTAAATATTATTCATGGAACTATACAAGTGCCGATCGTGCGTTTTGAATAGAAACGAGGATTATTTTTCAACTTCTATCGTGATATACCACTGCCATCTACGTCAACACTCAAGAACTGGTGTTCCCTATATATACTATTGCCAACTGGATTTATGCACAAAATTTTTCTCATCATACAAAACATTGAAACGCCACTGCCAACGATCTCACGCGGACTTGGTGTGCAGTTACAAAGAATGCAATGAAGATCCTGATATCCCTGATAAATCTAACATTCAAGAAACGGACTCTGTGGCAGAAATTCATGATGTATCTGCAACTGGAACTATCGGTAGTTCGGATGAATGGCAGAGAGATGCAGCATTATTCATTCTACAAATTCGAGAAGTACACAATTTGACTGAGGTGAGTATGTTGACTGTTAATGTCAACGCTTCAAAATTCATTATACTGGGTGGATGATCCCAGGAGAGGACTCAATCCCTTTTATCGGGCTTCCTCGAGTATCTTATTATGACTAATATGGCTTGCGAGTTATTTGCTTTCACTTTGATAAATATTTTGTTGTATTTCTACCAGCAATTAGAAATGGATTGGGAAGTTGATTCATTTAGCTTATAATTATTTTTTTAACTACAGCAAGCGACTACCGATGTTATAAGAAAAACGGAGCACTACATGAAGTCTCTGTATCGACATATCATTGATCAAGTGAGGCAGAAGTTTCCACCTGACGTATTCGACAGATTCAAGCAAGTCGTCGATGAGGCAGCCGGGCCAATAATCAACCAGTTTTCCTCAGTTTCGACGTCTTATATGCAAGACAGATTCCTGGTAAACAATTTTAATATGATTCTGCCAGAAGCAGTGGTCATAGGAACGTCATTGGATTTCAAAGAAACTCAAAAAGACAGGCGAGTTATTGACAGGCCCCACATTATGCAATACATTTCTCTATAAAAAAAACGCTGAGAATTCTATTCCAGGATGCATCATTTTTTGAAATGTATGAATCCTACAAACTGCAGGATAATGTCACGGGTATCTTGACGGACTTCAAAACAGCTATTGTCTGTCGTCGCCATAAAACATTTTCCGCGGATGTAGGAGCTATACAAGTTCTTTTATATTTCGACGACGTGGAACTCTGCAACCCTCCGCAAGGTCCGCAAACATAAAATATCATTTTTTTATGTGTCTTTTGCAAATCTCCATCCAGAATTACGATCCCGTTTTTCTGGTATACACCTTCTAGCTATTGCGCTTACAGATGATCTTAACAAGTTTGGTATTGATAAAGTACTAGAACCGTTTTATTCTGAAATTGAACTCTTGAGTGAAAAGGGAATGAAATTCGTTACTGCCAATGGAAAGATCAAAACTTTGAAATGCGATTTGGCTTCTGTAATAGCTGATACACCAGCAGCGCATCAAATTTTAGGTTTAAAAGAGGGAGTGGGATTCGCCTATAGGAAATGCAGGAAATGCATGGCTATAAACGAAACGATACAGACATCACATAGAGAGTGTGATTTCACTCTTCGGAGTTGTGCACAGCATTTATCTCAATGTCAATACCTCAACAAAACTACATCGGTAGCTTATGGTATTAATCGTAAATCGACTATTTTTGATCTCAAAAACTTCGACCCATTCACCAGCGTACCGCAAGATGCAATGCATGTCATCTTGGAAGGGTGCATTCCCTACACTCTGCAACAATTATTACAACATTTACTCCGGGAGAAACAATTGACATTGCAATTTATAAATCAGCGCATAGAAAAGTTTCCATATGGTTATCTCGACCGTACCAACAAGCCTAGTCCTATTATCGTCACAAGGCCAAATGGGGAAGTGAAGCTACGACAATCTGCTTCTCAAATGTGGCTGCTCGGTCGAATTTTACCGTTTTTGTTAGGCGATACTGTTGATCTAGAATCTGAGCCATGGCAGTGTTTTGTAACGCTTTTAGAGATTACCAGCATTGTTTTATCTCCGGTTATTTCCGAGAACATTCTTCCTTATTTGGGACATTTAATAGCACTGTACTTGCAAGATTTTCGAAGTTGCTTCCCGGAGGCCAATCTCATCCCAAAACAACATTACCTTGTGCATATTCCTTCGGATATATATAATCTTGGACCATCATCCAGAATGTGGTGTATGAGATTTGAGGCTAAACATTCGTTTTTTAAGGGACTTTCGAAGTCGAAAACGGCATCTTTCAAAAATATCACCAAACATCTGGCTTTCAAACATCAAAAAAATTTTGCTATGTTACTTGCCAGTGGCCAAGCGTTTTATCACACTGAAACTCTCGGACCTACCCTAAAAGTCGATTGGTCAATGTCCGATGAATTAACATCGTATTTAACTGAGAAGCGAATAACTAATATTGTTGCGTGGGTTAAGCCGAAAGGTTGTATTTTTCGTCCTGGATGTTTTGTCGTGTATAGCGTATTGAACGATATGCCCGTTTTCGCCGAAGTGTTAGCAATTTCAAAATTTTCAACGATTTTGTTTGTTGTTCGTGAATATTGCACTAAAGGGGTGGATGAAAATTTGAATGCATATTATATAGAAAAGGGACAAACTTTAAGCCTTATTTATTATCGAGAACTATTATATTTCGATGCTATGATGTCGTACAGTCTGCTAGAAAATATCTTTTTACCTATCAAAGTTGATCTATCAGGATGCGTGGATCAATATTTGAAACAGCGTCTTCTGCTCTGAATCACAAATAAAAAATTTGTTAACAGAGCCCGAACATGTTCTATGACTATTTTTATCAATTTTTTAACTGTTAAATTTTATGACTTCTAATCTTGAAGGTGTGTTTCGTAAAATCTCGAATGGTGTAGTCATTCAAGTTGAACTGACGTCATATAGTTTCTATATCGATAAAAATTATATGTAAACGACTATTTTTCGTGTACGAGAAAGGGAAATATTATTGTCCCGATTGTTTACTTTATTCGCAGTAAACTTTATAGCCACGTTCGTAGCATATCAATTTCAAATAAATTATTGTTAATCGAGGCGGATAATTAATAACCGCAGTGGGTGACATTGTGACGCACAGTACACCCGGTGTTACGGCCTATAATTTGCCACGTGAGGCGCGACATCAAATGTCCATATATATTCCAATCGGTGTGTTATTGTGACGATTACAATTGGATTCTTGTGGCTAATAAAGTGACGGCGAATTATCGTTTAAAATCGCGACAAAATATTTCCATTTTTTTGGAACGTACTTCACCGTTATTTTTTTCAGTGTACAGACAGGCAGAACTACTGACAGACTGAACTAACAGAAATTCATAGCATGTAGGGGCTTAAGCGGACGAAAATTAGAAAACAAAAAGATAAATATACGGGTGTACAGGATAAATATGTAAATCCTATCCTAAGCTATTGACTTACCCAGCATGAACAATGTTTCGGGGAGCAAAGGTGTCCTCACATGTAGGCCTATCCTTCACGTCCTTAGGCCGGATAGGGCTTGAAATGCCAGTTGAGGCGGTCACAAACGTATGCTTCCTCCGTAAATGGTTTAGCAAGTTTCCGGTAGTGTTTTGATACACAAATTTTTCCTTGCAAACAGAGCACAAGGTGTAAAATGTGCCATTTTCCTCCAGCGGCGTACAGAAATAATTCCACACAACAGACGTCGGCCGCCTACCCTGTTTTCTGATACCGGGTTTCGACTTCTTATTGATGTTTTGCATCTATCAGTTTATGAAATACACGTTTGAAACATACGATGGCATTACAAATGCACGAAGCGACTAAAATAAACGTGCGGAGCTCGCTCGCAGCCACAATAAACATGTCTAAACCAGTCACTTTGGTCTAAACTTGTCCCGGCGACATAGATAAATAGTCGATAAGGCGCAATTTTAACAATTAATCGATTTTATTCGCTGGCCAACGTGACGTTAGTCTTACGACGCGGAGAATGCATTGTTTCAATTGATTTTTTTTTAATCAGAATTACGGCTCTTTTTTGAAAATTGCTTCGAATCGATTCGAATCAGATTTGATTCGATTCGAAATTCTGAAACTTACATCCCTAGTCATTGCTCAGATGGTTTAGGCATAAAACACTTCGGAGTACAACTTCGCCATTCACTGTCGTATGTATAAAGCCAAATAATGGTTGGTCATCATATATTCTCGTTTTCCCCCTCAGTTTGCAATGATACCTAGTTTGTAATTTATGTAAATTTAAAAGCAGTTCATTTTTTAATAGGTAATATGCATGTGAACGTTTCCCCGGCCCTTGACCGCTGAAAAATGAAGTCGCCAAAGCGTTTGCGATTCAATTTTGTTTAAATCTCGATTGTTTTAAGGCGTGGCCTGCTATTTAAGCCGTAAAAATCTTGATTTTGGAGTTTATTCTCCCAAAATCAGAAATTTCCCTCAGAAGACGATTATAATTACTTTTTTTGTTTTCGAATAGAACCATGAAATCTCTGAGGAAAACGAGTTAGTTTATATTATATAAACATCAGCGACGAGATGCTAAAGATAGAATAAAGTAGTGAGTCTGCAACCAAATATTTCCTTATTGTAAAAGCGAGATTATAAAATACTAAAAATAAAACAGAAAACACCATGAGTTTTGTTTTGGGGTGGACCGCGACAGATGAAAAAACCTTTTTTTTTTAGACATTGCAAATCTTATAAATTTCTTGTGCCTGCGCCAACTACCGACTTGAAATAAATTTTATCGCAGACTAAGGAATTTTTGTAACAGTGTTGAAATTAATCGAGCATTGACATAGAGCGGAGTAAGAGTTGCAGGGACAGCTCATAATGGTGAAATTGGCAAGAATACAAATCAAAACAAAATGTAATCGGGAACTTTGTCAGACATTTTTATGGTTGCGGATTACCGTGGTATTTTATCGACGCAATCGCAGATTTAATTTTTCACAATTAAATGAATAAAGCAACCATTTTAAATGAGTATATCGGTCATGGATATTACATATTCGTTGACAAAGTCGGCTCTTATACGGCGTATTCACGAGAACTGACTCAGGATTCGTACCGCGGGGATTTCGAGTCGATGAATAAGTATTTTAATTGTACTAAATTAAGTATACTTTCTGGGATATTATACCAGATCTTTCTAATGAAGACAACGAATTCGCATGAGTGCAATATATATCAAAACTAAATATAATCGGGCAGATGATCACAATTTAATATGTCCGCGGATTGGCATGTAAATTTCCGATTCCATCTTGTGACCTCTCGCGCATGAGTGAGCATTTCGCGCCCCCAGTTTAAGAACCACTGATCTAGCTATTAGCGGAAAAAATAGTGATCGTGATCTTTGTCTATTCCCACTATTCATGTGGTCAAAAATTGTTTAGTAGTATAACAGGGGCTCCCGAAGTATGCGAACCAAGATGGCGGACATCGGAATGTAATATGTGTACTAGGTTAGGCCATAATTTTAGGTATAAATACTACGGGAGGCTCTTGGCTAGTCTTCGAACTGATAATTAAAATTGGAAAAAAATTATCGCAAAACCCTAACCTGTTACCCATGTTACGTTCCGATGTCCGCCATCTTGGTTCGCATACTTCGGGAGCACCGTATAACACACCGCCAGTGTAACTGGACCCCGAGTCTGAGTTAGGTCTTGCTGACAGGTAGTAGAAACATCCTACTGTTGTAATAACAAGTTTCTGACGATGAGTGGTGGCTCGGTCTCCTAGACACTGGTGGGTCCTATTTTCACAAAGACGGATGCATATATAGATAGATAGTTTATTTCGAAAACTTCATACCAAACATAAATTAAAAATGGAGAATTCTGGAGGGCAAGCAAAACCTATGAAATAATTTGAGACATGAGAAGTATCACCAAAATCACAAGCCCAATTAAATGAGGCTTGGGCCAATATCGATGGCCTAATCCCTGGCGTGGAATATTTATTATTTACAAAAATAAAAAAGGCCATATTTTCCGATTCTTTTAAAATTAGCAATTACTTAATGAGAAAAATATTAAATAAATTTGTTTATTATTATTTTGCTGCTAGTCAATTAGAAGAGACAATGTGTATTGGACATATTTCAAATACAGGTAGAAGGAAAGTAGAGTCGGTATCAGCGCCAAGCAAT